ATACTTATTTTTACAGTAACTATACTTGGTTTAGTCTGTTTTGTGTTGCTGTAACAAAATACTTGAGGTGAGTTATTTTCTAGAGAGAATAGATTTATTTAGCTCACAGATTTAGAGACTCAGAGTCCCAGATTGAACAGCTCTACCCCTTCAGCCTCCAGTTAGGACTTTATAGATAAATCACAATGTAGTAGATGATACCATGGCCCAAGTTTGTGCTATAGGAAGAAATTACAAGGTGGGACTGGAAAAAGGAGATGCTTTACAACAGCTCATGGGTGCTTAATCTAGTCCCGTGGGAGCCAGGACTGCCATGGAGCAACATTAATTTATTTGTGAAGGCTGTGCCTCCAGGGTCTAGAAATCCCTAGAGCCACAACTTTTTAATGTCCTACTATCTCTGCCATACTGATGACCAGATCTCTAGGACATGAGTCTCTGGTGGGCAGACCATATCCAAACCCTAGCAGAGATGCTTAATTGTAAATGTCTATTAGTGCATTTAGATAAGAGGAATTGAAACCAAAGCATAGGACTGAACTGAAACTCCAAATTAGGAACTTAATTCTGTAGTTCAAGCCACAGGCAAAGTATCCTTGGAAAACTAAAATGGAAGAAAACCGGTGAGGACAAGGATTAAAGAAGAAAAATGGTATTGATGAAACTGGATCTTCTAAGTGTGTGACTTTAGAAATAATCTAAAGCGGTGGTTTGAGAGCTAGTGCAGAGGGTGAGTCATGGGGTACAGTTACTGTTGGGAAGGTGTTTTATTCCTGAGTCCTTTGATTATAGAAAAGGTCAAGTTACAGATGGTGTGGAGTTGAGCAGTTCTTAAGCTAGAGATGAGGTAGGAAGACTTGGTAAGTTGTGTGTGTGTTTTTTTAATGACCAAAGAATTTATGTGCATCTACAAAAACACAATAATTATCCATGATAAAACCACTATCTGTAACCTATGTATTGTGTGTATGTATACTTACATTTATACACACACAGTTAACAGATTTTACACTGAATGGAATAATGCATACCTGCTGGAACTTGCCTTATTTTATTTGATAATTTATTATAAAATCAGGTAGATGGCATTTTGTAACATTAAAAAAAATCCTTGTTATCAGTTTCTGGCACTGTTTTCAAAATGTTTCCTTTCTTAGACTTGTGCGTGCCTATTAATCTCAAGTCATTTGCAACATTCTGAAAATCTGCTTCTTCACTCCTGTGTACTATTCAAACTTAAAATTTCCCACAGCTGGGTAATAAGTGAATTTATTTAAATCAGGAAACTTGTGGATTATTTTTAGTTGTTGTTTTTGGTTTACTGACTAGTCGTGCACTATTTTTGCGAATTTTGTGGAAGCATGCATGTAGCATGAATTCTAGTTGTCTTAATAATAAAAAGTCATAGTCAGGTATCAGGGTTAAAGCTGAAGAGCAGAGAAGCAAAGCAGCCAGTCACTAGAGTTCTCACCTCTACCAATGCTCAGACCAAAAGAGAGGACCTGTCCTCAGACTGCATCTCCAGACTGCGTCTGTCTCCTCTACCTTATATTCCTCTCTAGTGCTGGGATTAAAGGCAGGAGGTACCAAGTGCCGAGATCACCTTTGTGTGAGCTCTGTTTCTCTTAGACTGATTCACTCCTTTGTAGTCCAGGGTGGCCTTGAATTAACAGAGATCTGTCTGCCTCTGTCTTCCGAGTGTTGGGATTAAAGGTATGTGCCACCGCTGCCTGGCCTCTATTGCTAACTAGTATGTCTAGCTTTGCACCCTGATCTTCAGGCAAGCTTTATTGTTAAATCATAAACAAAATCACCACGAATGTATGTAGGGAGGTTTTGAGGTGTGAAGTTGCAGAATCGGAGGTGTGTATATTTGTTCAGCACCCTGGATCTCTGTTCTGTGTTCTTTATAGTTTCTCTCTATGTATTTTGTGATTTTTTTCTTCTAGATATGTATGGACTTTTTTTGTGTGAAATCTGTTTTTCCTGCTGCACATTGCTTTTTTGCTGTTCCTTAAGACATTTACTTTATTATGGATGTTTTTATTTCCTGTTTCTTGTCTGAGCTCTAGTCACTCCACTTCCAACTATTTGCTTTCTGCTTGGCTTGTCTCTCATCACTCTCTATCTTTTCAATTGTTCCCTCTTATTCTTTACTGTGATTCCTTGCTTAGAATTCTTCTTTATTCAACCAGAATAGAGCATACGCAGGTGTTAAGTGTAAGCTTGTTATGACAGTATTTTATGGGAAGATGTTGTATGTTTGCTCTTGTGCAGTTAACTAGAGTAATCCTTGCTGTTTTTCTTTGTCCTCCACCTGTCTTTTCACTTCCAAAGTTTGTTTGTTTGCTGTTTTTCTTCAGGAGAGTTCCATATCATTCCCTACTGATTGTCTTTTACATTGCACAGATATTCTTTTTTTTTACACCTTTTAATTATATATTTAAATTAGAAACAAGCTTGCTTCCCATGTCAGTCCCAGCTCCCTGTCCCTCCCCTCCCCCAGCTCCCCATCCAATCTCCACTCCATTCCACAAGGAGGGTAATGCCCTCCATGGGGGCTCTCTAGAGTCTGTCATTTCGTTCTGGGGAGGGCCCTCCCCAAAGTGTCCAAATTGAGAAAGCATCCCTCATTGTTGGATGGGTCCCCAAAGTCCATTTGTGTGCCAGGGATAAATATTGATCTACCCCAAAACCCCATAGATTGCCTGAGGCTCTTCACTGACATCCACATTCAGAGGGTCTGGATCAGTCCCATGCTGGCCTCTCAGGCATCAGACTGGGGTCCAAGATCTCCACCTTGTTCAGGTCAGCTGTTTCTCTGGGATTCACCAGTCCAGTCTTGACCCCTTTGCTCATCACTCCTCACTCTCTGTCACTGGGTTCCAGGAGTTCAGTTCATGTTTAGCTGTGGGTGTCTGCCTCTGCTTCCATCTGTCACTGGATGGAGGTTCTAGGATGGTATGTAAGATAGTCGTCAAAATCATTATCAGGGAGGGGCATTTAAAGTAGTCTCTCCACTACTGCTTAGTTTGCCAGTTGGTGTCATCCTTGTAGATCTCTGAAGTTCTCATCAGTGCCAGATCTCCCCTCAAACCTAGAATGGCTCCCTCTATTATGGTATCTCTCATCTTGCTCTCCTCTATTCTTCCCCCAACTCAACTTTCCTGCTCCCCCATGTCGTCCTCTCCCTTCCTCTTGTCTCCCTCTCTTTTTCATGGCTCCCTTTCCCCTCCCCCACCCTGTGCTCCCAATCTACTCAGGACATCTAGCCTCATTCCACCTTTTCTGGGGTACTACATGTATCTCTCTTAGGGTCCTACCTGTATCCCTGCCTCTCTGGCAGTGGGATTGTAGACAGGCACTCCCATGATTCATGTCTAAATCCATATATGAGTGAGTACATACCATGTTTCTTTGTTTGTGACTGGGTTACCTCACTCAGGATGGTTTCGTCTAGTGCTGTCCATTTGCCTGCAAATTTCAGGATTCCATTGTTTTTTTTTCTGCTGAATAGTGTTCCATTGTATAAATGTACCACATTTTCTCTATCCACTCTTCAGTTGAGGGGCATCAAGGTTGCTTCCAGATTCTGGCTATTGCAAATAGTGCTGCTATAAACATAGTGGAACAGATGTCCTTGTTGTATGAATTGCACAGGTACTCTTTTGATAGGTGTTTGACTTGAGCTAAATACAAACCGGCATGTCTCCATGCTCCATGAAGATGATGGATTAAGTCTCTGAAACTGTAAGCAAGCACTCAGTTAAATGCTTTCCTTTATAAGTTTGCTGTGGTCATGATGTCTCTTCACACCAGTAAAACAGTGAGTAAGAGAGATGAGGTGTGACATACACTCACACCTCAGTTTTAGCTCTGTAGCAAAAGGATGGAGGATGTGCTTTCCTAAAATAGTCTTTTTAAAATCTGGGGAAGGGACTAGAAAGAAGTTGTGCTGAAGTGAATAACTTAGAAACCTCAAGTAGGCATGCAGCTTGATTAACTGAAGATGCTGAAACTTAAGTAAGCTTTTCTTAAATATTTAGTGCTTTAATTTTTTGTTTTTGTTATTTAGAATTCAGGTCTCAGCTTCTACTGTATTCCAACATTCCCCATGAGACTTTGGATCCAATAAGACCATTGTTTTCTCACTGTCCTTAGTGTGTGGCACAAGTAGACCTCAATGAATCGACAGCATTCTGTACAAATATATCCGTTGGCTGGCTGCTTAATGTTCTTAGTTGGTTGAAGTCCCCAAAAGTTGTTATGAAAACATCATTAAAAAGTTCAGTCTGAGAGCTTTGTATTTGAGGTGTGTAATCCTACTACTCCTTTTCTGAACTCTAGTCATTGGCCCACTCTTAAACTTCCAGATAAGGATTTTGGTTTTGTTCATCTGCAATTTTTATAGTATTATGTAGTTTTAAAACCTTCTATTGAGCCGGGTGGTGGTGGCGCACGCCTTTAATCCCAGCACTCGGGAGGCAGAGGTAGGCGGATCTCTGTGAGTTCGAGGCTGGGCTGGACCGATAGCCTCCAAAACAATACAGAGAAACCCTGTCTCGTAAAAACCAAAAAAAAAAAAAAAAAAAAACCCTTCTATTGAGGGGATAATAATGCCTGCAGTGTTTAGTGTTGCTGCAGGGATAGATGAGTATCTCTGGGCTATGGAAATGGATTCCTTTTGTGACAGTCCAAGTTTATAAATGTTTTCCCAACAATCTTTGTTGAGATACAGTTAAAGGACAGTGCAGTTGAACATGATAGCAAACTATGATTGTGAGTCTAAAAAGACTTTGTAATACTTGTATATCTCACTAAGGTGCTCATATTCACCTCTTTTACCCCTACCCCCATAGCATATATATGGTTGCTAAATGAGCTTTTGTTCGTATTTTTCTTTAGATGGATATATTTGGAGAAATTACTTAGTATAAAATGCTTACCTGAATCACAAAATTGAGTAAATAAGTTGTTTTCTTTTAACATGTCTCCTTTAGGTGTTTTGTGGATTTACTCTTCAGCAATTACATACTGCAGTAATACAGCTATGGCGGCGTTCCAGCCTTTCAGGAACAGTCACATAAAGAATAAGGCATCTGTCCGCAAAGTAAGTTCATAGTATTAGGTTCCTTCAGTGGAAATTCAAAACAATATGCAGTTCTCTTATGGTTTTTAAATGAATCTTAGTGTTTAACTTATAACATTGAAATACTGAAAAGTATATGAAAGTATTTAACTTATAACATTGAAACATTGTAAAGTGTATGAAAGTAGTGATGTGAAGTTGTGATTGTAATGATGTTAGTCTCTAAAATCTCAGTGCACAGGATCTCCTCTTCATCTCTTCACAGACATTTTCCATCAGGTGTTTTTTTTCTTTCTCTTCCTGCTTGCCTGCCTGCCCGCCCCCCCCCCTTCTCTTTCTCTCTTAGTTAACTATCTTACATACCTTTAGTACTAGCTTAAAGGTATATAAGAAATATTAACCACTCATTTATTCAGCATAATGAATTTGAGTGTTTATTGTATGTCAAGACTATGCTAGATGTTGAAAAGTTTGTGAGCAAATGAAAAATTCCTTTTCTTGTATGTATGGGGTTGTAGATTGAACCCAAGGACATATACATGCTAGGTAAGTTGCTCTAACACTGAACAGTACTCTCGCTGCCTCCCTTCACATCCTCTTCCTGCCCTTTAGCCTTTTATATTGATATAAGGTCTAAGTACATTAGCTAGGATGACTTTGAAGTAGCTTTATATGCCAGATAGGCCTTGAACTTGCCACTGCACCTGCCTTATCCTCCCAAGTAGCCAGGATTCCAAGCATGTATTAACAGATGTGGTCATTATTTCTCATCTGAGGGAGACCCTCTTATTCCTAAAACAGTTTGGTTAGTCAGTATCCAGGTTTTGATTTTTGTCTTTGCTGTAACTTTGGGTCATCACTAGAGGAAAAGAGAAGAAAAGGTTCTAGAGGATGTAGCCTGTTACTCAGTTCCTGCCATTCAGCCTCTTCTCATGACACTACTGACCTTGCCCGTGAAGACCATCTTTACGTTCACTATGGTGTTCTCCTTGCTTTTCTATTCTTTTTTGATAACTCTTCTCTTTTGATAATGCTTATAAAGGGAGAAGATAATTCAAGGGTGAATGAGGATGGGCAAAGGCCTTTTCATTATCAGGTGTCAGCTTTCTGATTTGTGTGATAGTCATTTTCTGTGGTGGCAAGCACATTATTTACCTCACTCATTTATTATTTATTTGTATTCCTCTGGACTCACAGATCTTTATAAACTCTGTACTTTACAGAGTATTTTCTTTGTAGTAACTTCTGCCTAGAAATGTCATTTGCTCTTAGAATGTCATGAGTTTATATCGGTAGTTCAAGCTCATTTATATTTTTGCCTTTTTGTGTTCACAAATTAGTGTGAAAATCTTCGTTCATTAATGAAAACAAAACTACAAATGTTGGGTGCTTTGAAGTCTATTAAATAGAAAAAAACCTCAGAACAATAAGCAACTCATATATTTTCTACTTGGATTCACCTTTTGTTAGCATCTTGCTAGATCCTTTCTCTTCTCTATGCACGCCTCACATTTCTCTTAATAATCGTGTGGAAAATGCCCTTTGAACCTTGTTTTATATGTTAGTATGATTAGCACTCACTCCTAAGAAAACCATTTGTCTGTAACTTTATCTGACATCTAGTCTGATGAATTCCCACCAGGTTGTCTCAGACCTTCAGAACTTTTTCTTGGTTCTTACCTAGAGTTTACTCAAGATTTTTCATATACTGCATTTGTATATTTCCAGTGGTCTAGATTCTTTTCTCATGACACCACATCTTTGGAAACATCTGAGCTAGTTGTCCAATAGAACATCCCAAGTTGGTTTTCAGTGTGACTCGGTTTATCAGGAATGTATTGAAGGCTTTGTCTCCTTCATTGCACTCTGTCAGATCAGGAGAAGCGTATCATTGACGTTTTTTGAGGACGTGGCCAGGATTGTAACCATTTATTGTCTCCAGTAAAAATGCAAAGTAACTTTGATTAAATGCTTAGCAAGGAAACTATGTGGTGATAGTTTCAGAAATGTGAGTAGCCTGTTTCCCAGAGCTTTTAACCCAGTAGATTTAATATACATTGATAATTTTTTCCAAATCAGTAATTATGTTGAGAGTTACAAAGAGGAGTTTCTAATGGAATCAGTTTGTCTGTATTTGTCAACCTGTAATCGTAGGAAAAGAAAAAAGCTGTGTAACTGAATACAGGAGTTACGATGCATTACCATTTCTATTCTTTTCAATGCCCTGATATTTTCAGATTTAGCCAGTGGGCATTCCTGGCTAACACACTGACTTCTGTGTTCTTTTGAAATTACCCAATTAGTCTGTGAGCACTTCCCTGTAGTCTGGCACAGTTAGATGGTATAGTCTCTTTTGTATGATCTCTGTCTAGGATCTGGAACAAGACATTTTTTGAGGAGCTCTGGTTATTTTAATTGATTGGTATTTAGAAACCAAAATCTGGGTATAGATTCTGCTCATTGCTTCTTGGAGGGTCAGTATATATATATTTAAGGAAATACATTGATAGATGAGATTGAAATTTAATATAACATACCTTTTTCTCAAATTCTTCAATAGTATTATCTCTTAGATTATAGATTTGTATTTAATGAATTTTATATAGTTAGCAACTGTTTGTTAACTTCATGTAAAATGTGAGGGGATAAAGTGAATGGAATGTAGTTTCCATGATTTGGTACAATGGGTAGAAAAGATAAACATGAATACTATAATCATAATATGACATAGATCTAGTAACCTTAATCTGCAGATACCATAGGAGAAAATTAGACTAAGGGATGAGGGAGATCTTTTTCTGTCTTGGCATGGATAGGGTTTCTGTAGGGCAGGATTGCCGAGTAAGACATTCCCATAGACTTGAAGAGTGGGTTCCATACGAGGCAGAGGGAAGTGAGTGTTGCCTTTCCGTCTGCCTTGGTGTCCTCTTCCTTCCTCAGGTTCTTTGAATTTGTGACAACTTCCTTTCCAAGACATGGAATCTCTTCCTTTAAGACTGCTGGAAAATCTTATTTTTAGCTACTGTCTATTTTCTTTGTCTCTTAAGGAAAGAATCACTGATGCTAGTGTGCCATTTTCTAGCTCCTGTATCATCTCACTCATTAAAAGGATTGTTTATATTCTGTTAGTGACTTGGAAATAAGATATGCAATTTGTTAATTTTAGTGCAAGGTAAGTATAAATAAATCTGGAGCAAAAAACCTGTATGGTCTTCAGGTAGTTTGACTTTTTTTCTTAACTGAACTGAGTCCAGCAAATAATATGAAAAAGTGACAAGTGAATTAATTAGAAAATGAGTAACTATGCAAAACTCAGTATCTGCAAGCTCTCTCCCATGCCTTGGAACTTAAATTGTCGTATTTATTTATTCCTCAGAGCTTCAGTGAAGATGTGTTCCAGTCTGTAAAGTCTTTATTACAGAGTGAGAAGGAGCTATGCAGTGTATCAGGAGGAGAGTGTTTAAACCAGGATGAACACGCCCATTTAACTGAGGTTTGACAAGTGACTTTCTCGGTCAAGTACAGTATGTTTTCATGTACTTTGTAGGACTGCAGGATCTTAAAAAAAAATCTGTACATAATACTAACATGTTTTAGGGAGGGTAGCTATATTGTCTGGAAATGTTATATGAGACAGGCTTCTATAGGTTAAGTTTTCCAGATACCGGAGAGGATACCTAGTAGCCATAATTAATTAGAGTTAAGAGCCAGGGTAATTTTAGATTCTGAGCAGCTTCTGAGTCATCAGAAAGAAATCAGGGTATTGAATGTAGTCTTCTATATTAACCATCCCACTTCTCTCCAGTGTGTTACTTGTTGTTATTTAAATATTTTGTATTTCTAGACACAGCACTTACTTAGTAGATAATTCACTATTTTTTCACCAAAGGTAAAGGTGCTCTAATATGATGACAAAGACATAAATACAAATTTTAAAAATAACTTTTCAGTCTATATTCTTTATGGAGAAATTAGAATGCTGAAATTTTTAAAAAGGAAGTACAGAGGACAGAAGTGAGGACTGCTCACTTTCATAAGGTCATATGAAATTCCCCAGTTAATCACTGCTATAACTAGTTTGGTGCATTGCCTTTTAATATTATTTTTCATGCGTATGTTTTTAAGAATAAGGAAGAAGTTATGTGTGTCTTACTGTTTTTTGTAATTTGTTCTTTTTACTTAACAGTATGTTTTCTCATGTCATTGGAGAGTCTGTAGAAATTTCATTTCTATGAACTTATGTAGGGAGTAGTAGTAGGGGTTGAAAGGAATGTTGGTAGAACAACAATGAGAAAGGAGCCTGAGAGATCTACACAAGGAAGGTTTCTCTGAGAAGGCTACTGGAGTAGGAACTTGCAGAATAAAGAGGAGCCAGACATAGAAGTGTCTGAGAAAAAGTCATATCAAGGGGATACAGCTGCAAGAGCCGTAAGCAGTCATGTACAGGGCATGTGCTAGACCTAGAAAGGGGGCCCATGGGTTGAATGAAAATGAAGGCAGGCTGAAGGCATCCACTAACAACCTGGGAAGTGTGGACAAATGGCATGACAGTGGACAAGTACAGTGACAGTGGAGTAAGAGGGCATGGCAGTGGGGATGGGGTGAGTAGGGACACTGAGCTGTGTTTTGAGAGTGCACTTGGGTGAGTTTGCTAGAGGGAAAGATATGTGAGGGGTAGATGAGGTTCAAGAGCTATAATGTGTTAGAAACTGGCAGGACTTTCTTTGGATTGCCAGCTCCCACATAATGACACAAAAATTTCTTATTAATTATGAAAGCTTGACTTTAGCTTGGGCTTGTTCCCAGCTACTGCTAATAGCTTAATTTAACTAGTTTATATTAATCTATGTTCTACCACATGGCTTGTTACTTCTGCTCAGCACTGTGTGCCCCACTTTCTCCTTTGTGTCTGGCTGGTGAATTCCCTGCCGCTCAGATTCTTCCCCCAAGTTCCCCTCTCCCCAGAAATTCCACCAATCCTCTCCTGTTTAGCTATTGGCTGTTCAGCTTTTTATTAAACCAGTCAGAAGGTGTGTTGGCAGAGACAGACACAGCTTCACAGTATATAAATCACTTTCTATTATAACTTGTATTACCAACATAAAAATACCTTTTGACCTTAAAACATTTTCTTAGATGAACAACTTAAACTCTTATATCTCTCAGCCTTTATAGATTTTACATGTATTATGTAAGTTTCTTTTCTGAATTTGGTAACAAGATGATATAACTATCTAGTCTTCAACCTCCATCAGAGATCCAAGGATAAAATATTACCTGAGTAAATAGGAAGTATAGAACAAACAGCTTCCAAAACTTTCAACATGACAGAAAAGCTGGCTGCCTAAAAAGTCACCCAAGATTCCTCTATAGTGTTGGAGCACCAATCTTCAGCCTACAGGCCTAGATTATCTTACAGACTTTTCTGTGTAGCAAGAATTTTGAAGGACTGGCCTACTTTGTTTGGCAAAGCTTGGCAGTTGGCATCCTTTGATTACTGCTTGTACCATTTGGACAGCATACGTTCAGCAGTCAAGGCAAGAACAGTTTTTTGCCCAGTGGCTAGCTTTTCCACAGAGAAAACAAACTCCATATGGAGGTTCTTCGATGCCCATCATCCTTTTTTGAAGCAGGTCTGCCTTACTGTTATGAAAAGGCTTATGTTATTAAAACATTTAAAATGTCATATTCTGTAGATCTCTGAAGTGTTTGAAGACCACCTATCTATCTAAAAATGTATCTGTTTAACCTTGAAAACATAGCTAACATGACTGTAAGTTTGTTATACATGACTAACTACTAACCTGCATTTCTTAATTATTCTAAACAATTTGTAATGATGGCTTTCAAGGACTAGAACTTTACATTACATTGTTAAATGAGCTGCATAGGTACAACACCTTAAACAAAAGCAGAAACATATATATATGGTATGTTATTAACAAAAATAATCTTGAATTATATCAATATACAAAAATACATTAAACACAGCCGGGCGGTGGTGGCGCAGGTCTTTAATCCCAGCACTCGGGACGCAGAGGCAGGCGGATCTCTGTGAGTTCGAGGCCGGGCTGGACTGATAGCCTCCGAAACAATACAGAGAAATCCTGTCTCGTAAAAACCAAAAAAAAAAAAAAAAAAAAAAAAACCAAACCAAAACAAAACAAAACAAAAAACATTAAACACAACAGTGTAACAAAATGATCTTTAATTTGTATCAGAATACAAAAATACATATCAGTGTAAAATATTTAAGACTAGTAGTTGCTTTTTAGTTTAAAAGTAGATTCAACAATCTCCCATTTTATCCTATCATTCCTATATGTCCCCTTTCACTAGATAAGAGAAAAAAGATAGAGAAGAGAAAGGAATCCCTTAGTCTAACCTCCTTTGTTTAGCTTCCTCTCTGACCATGACAAATAACATCCTGCAGCTAACCCCCTAAACAGTTTCAAAATCCATAGCCCACCGAAGATCAAAAACCATCCATTTCACCTCTGGAGAATTTGGGCATTGTGTTCTTAAAATTACTTCCTGTTGTCTGGGAGAAATGTCATCTTTAAGGGACTCTGAGAAAATTGGGATAATAGTTAAGTCCTGGGAGAGCTAGCTGTATCATTTGTTGTCCAGTCTGTGTAGTGGGAAAGTGCAGAGCTTATTTGAAGTCCTAGTGGGAATAGTCTGTGAGGCTGGACCATCTCAGCTAGCAGCTTTGACATTGTTCTGTATGGAGATTTTTGAGGAAACTGCAACAGAGACATTCTGAGAGACTGGATCACCCAGAATATTTGTCTTTATTGATGTCTGGACCTTTTTTGAAAATACACAAACTTTTTTTTTTTTTTTTTGGTTTTTCGAGACAGGGTTTCTCTGTGGCTTTGGAGGCTGTCCTGGAACTAGCTCTTATAGACCAGGCTGGCCTCGAACTCACAGAGATCCGCCTGCCTCTGCCTCCCAAGTGCTGGGATTAAAGGCGTGCGCCACCAACGCCTGGCGAAAATACACAAACTTTTAATGGTAACATACATATTTGCATTAACATAAGTATGGAATGTGCAGTGTACACAAGTCAGCTAAAGATGATTTTCTATTCTGTTTGAGGCAAAAGGCATCTGTCAACTTTAGAAGTCTGTTTGGACTGCATAACCAAACTAACATAAGTCTCCATCTATGCCATATCAAAGGATGTCATGTAATAATAAGTCATGAGGACTCCAGCCAACCAGATTTATCATGTCACCTGCAGTCTCAGAGTTGTTCCTATATTGAGAGATGAGCTTATGAAAATCAGCTTGCTGTTTTGTAGTTTTTTCTTGGTTTTTTCCTTAATGTCTGCAATCAAGATTTTCAGGTCATCCCTGATCAAATCTGATCTTCATTAATTTTGAAGGAATCCCTAACTTTTTGTTTCCTGTGGAAACAAAATCATAACCTCTCCTCCAACACATTTCCTGACTTCCATTCTGAAGTTAAGACATCCTTAAAATATATAAGCTGATTTAATTCAGTAGTGTCCATTATCCAATGTCTTTTAGCAGCTGTTGCTTTTTGCTCATTAACATTTAAAAAATTTAAATAAAGCACTATATAGAATCCAGATGCCCTGTGTTATAATATTTCTCATCCTTATAAAGCTTATTCTTCTTGTATTACTTTAGTTTCTCTTTATTATTTTAAACTATTTTTTCTATGACTGTATACCCATTTTCTTTTCTTTTTCAGCTTCTAGGCACATTTTCAAGCATACTGTATCTGTTCAGAATTTTTTGTTTGTTTGTTTGTTTATTTGATTTTGGTATGGACCCCACTGGTTCTTGGCTGCAGCTGCTGTTTGCCTTTCCATCAACCTGGAGCTGCATTTACCTGCCCCCATTCTGGGAACTTGCTTAGTTGGTAGTATGGTAGGCATTTCTATCCAGTCTCCCACCAGGTAGCATGCCAGTTGCTATGTGCTTAAATATATGTGCCCCACATTGGGCGCCAAATAATTATTTTTATGTTTCCAATAAAGACTCAGGAGTCAGATATTGTGGTGAAAACCTGATAGATCCAAAAAGTGAAGGAGGAGTGACCAGCTGACCCCCCCATTTTTTTTTCACCAGAGACATAGCAAGGGCCCTTCTCTCTTCTCATGTCCCAGATCAAAGAGATCATGAAATTTATTTAAGTTCCTCCCTACTCCTTCCTGTGCGTTTTCTCCATCTGTGATCCTGGATACTCTATGGCTAGTTCCAGTCAACTAGTTGCTTGCTCTGCCCCCTGATTCAAGATTAACTTTATTAACATAGTCTTGGGGTGTCACAGTGCAATCAAATATCCCACAGGGCATAGCAGTGGGAATGAGGATGAGTAGGGATGATGAGCTATGCTTTGAGGGTGAAGTTGGGTGAATTTGCTAGAGGGAAAGGTGGATGAGAGAGGTGAGGTTCAAGAGCTATAGTATGGTGGAAACCTTGGTCATTGGAAACTCTGCCTGCCCAGGATACTCAGCATGTTTATTGTGCTAGTCAACACTCTGAGACAAGACTTTAAAAAAGTGAATTAATGGAGATCTCTCCCTCTCTCTCTCTCTCGTTCTCTCATTCAGGTTACGTTTCTGGGCTTTAATGAAGATACAGATGCTGCTCATATACAGGTGTGGTCAGTTTATTGAATTTGCAAAGTCTTTGGGAGACTAAAAAAATTGGAGACTGAAAATTTACTTTAATGCTCAAAATTTACAATAATTTTAAAGTATCTTTTAAAGTTAAAACATGAAATTCGAAGCTAGACTTGGTGGCGTGTGCCTTTATTTCCAGAACTCAGAAGGCAAAGGCAAGCTGATTTTTGAGATCAGGACCAACCTAGTGGCAGATCAGTCTATATAGTGTGTTTCAGGCCAGCCAGGACTACATAGTGAGTTCCTCCCCTTCACCCTACACCCTGTTTCCCAAAAACAAAAATGACATTTGAGATCAGTGTTTTGGGTGTGACCTGAACATTTCGCTTTCAACATTTTTACTAAGGATTCTTTTGTTGTTGTTGTTGAGACAAGTCTTGTCATACATCCTTGACCTGTCCTTGAACTTGTAGAAATTCTCCTGCTTCAACCTCCCACATGCTGGGATAAGAAATGTGTGCCACTATGCCTGGTTTTTTGTTGATAATTCTTGCTATGGAAAGGAGCTTTAGGTCTGAATATGAAAATCATTTAAGGCACAGACTATTTTCATGTTTCTGTCCATTATATTGCATGCAATATTTGCTTATTTTGATGGTTTTCATAATTTGACTTTAGCAGTAAGTTCTTGTATTTTTATTGAAGTACAATTAAATATAAAAGATCAAATTTGTAAAGTCTCAGTTTTTACACGTTTATAAATTTGTGCACAAGTTTCTAGCCTGTTTCATCTAGGCATTTATAGAGGGATTGGTATTTGAGGTTAGGATCAAGGAACGAAAACTTGATAATTGTACAAGTCACTGTAAATATAGTTTTTCCCTGTACTGCTGTTAGAAAACTGGTGACATTAGTTATTTCTCGTGATTATGCCTGAAAATTCAGTAGTCTGCCGTGATTTTCTTAGCTGGAAGGAAATAACTTGGGCAAAGGGAACAGAGAGGGCACACTGTCCAGAATGACATACAAATATATAACTGGATATGCAAGTCTGATGCAGGATTGTCACTGTGAGTTAGAATTCAGTTAGGGCTGCATAGTTCCAGACCAGCCTGAGCTACAGAGTGTGACTGTCTCAAAATCAAAACAAAGCCCACACATTTCTAAAGTGTTGTGCTAGTCCTCAGGAACTGCAAAAAGACCACATTTATAAAGCTGTACTTTCTGCAGGGCAAGGACGTGAGTGATTCTTTAACTGGAAGAAAATAGTCATTAAAGAAAAGAGGAAGCAAAGCTGGCTATGAAGCTATCTTTCCTTTAACCTTCATACACTTTGAAGGCTTACTTCAGAACCTTCAGAAAAATGGACTAGTGTTTTACAGAGTTCAAACTCAAGCTCTGAAGAAGTAGGTGCAGCAGCATGAGAAACTCCATAGTCAAACCAGAGATGTTCTGGATGACAGGTGCTAAAAACAATGCTATGTTAATGGTCATAGATGTGTGAGTGCCCTCTTCAAATTATTAGGTAGCTCAGCAGCAATATGCTTGAAAGGCTACAAAGTGATACTAAATAATCTTAGTTTAAGCCGGGCGGTGGTGGCGCACGCCTTTAATCCCAGCACTCGGGAGGCAGAGGCAGGCGGATCTTTGAGTTTGAGGCCAGGCTGGACCTACAGCTTCCAAAACAATACAGAGAAACCCTGTCTCATAAAAACCCAAAAAACAAAAACAAAATAATCTTAGTTTGCTTTATTTTTGAGTTAAAAAATGACTACCTGTGGATAAACAATGTGTGTGAGCTGTTAAGTAGATAGTTTTATGGTTTTTTTAACAACATAGTGGATACCTTAATAGTGTTACTCTGTAGTATTACTCATTGCTATCACTGTTATTATTTAAAATTAGGATCTAGCTGCAGTTTCACTGGAACTTCCAGACCTTCTGAATTCGCTCCATTTCTGCAGTCTAAGTGAAAATGAAATCATTTGTATGAAGGATATGAATAAATCATCAGGTGTAAGCAGTAGTCCTCTAAATCAGGTAACTGATGGATCATTTCTAATCAGGTTTTTCAGGGCAGGTTTTTACTCTATTTGCTCAGTAATAGTACACTTTTAAGTGATTGAAGCTTTCCTTGTTATTTTAATTCAGTCCTAAGAAAATGATATTGACAAAAAGTCTTAACGAAGTATCGCCAGCCTTGGGGCATAGAATAATTTTGATCATGGCTTATAAACTAAATTTCTACCTGGGAAGTTCTGTCAGTGGTATGCAAACACACTCTGATTTTTTTAGTGAAATGTTACTGTTCAGATTTCTTTGGATAGCCGGAGTGACTGTTCCTGCTTCATGGCTACCCCATATTTACATGTTTTTAGCAAAAGGACTTGCAACTAACTTTCTGGTTAAAGATTTTCCATGTAGAATGGACAATGATGTTGTTTTCCTAAAACAGTCTTTAGTTTATTAGTATTTTTGATAATGTATAAAAGAAAAATGCTTTGCATTTTAGAAAATATGATATTTAAAATTGTATGACTAGGTTTACAATTTGGAGACCTTAATCAGCTCTAAAATGGTGTTTTGAGGTTTAGTGATTAGAATTATACCTGTTTCCTAGATCCTGCTGTTCACTCATATACTTGCTTTATTTGTTGGGACATAAAGGGTGATTAGCTGTTATATTTGGTTTCTTCTTTTTAAAAGCAAATCACTTATCAATGTGTGCATAGGAAAAACTAATGGCTTGTGTTCTTATTCAAAGCTATAAACATGATTGTAAGTTTTAGTACCAGAGAAATAAAAGTTAAAAGATAAGAATAGTTCTTTTTTGCTAGGAGGGAAGGTAACATGCTGGGAGCTATAGGAAAATGGAATAACAAGTATTAGATCCTGGATCCTGTTCTCAAGCATTCACAATGTAGTGGGTGAGTTTGGTAAATGACTAAGTAATATACATTACAAACACATACAGTAATATAGAAAAAAATTGTCCAAGAGATAGTAGGGAGAATTTAAATACATGGGAGAAAAAAAGATTGGTAAGGGAAAAGTTAAAATGCAATTTAAATAAGAATAAATATATTTCTTTAGATAATTTCATGAAAATTAAATACTTAAAAATAATTAAACATTACAGAATAAAGGACCCTTCCAGAATGCATGCATTTCTTGCAACAACTCCCTCCATATCCCCACCCTCTCCGGCTTATTTCTAGGCTTCACTTCCAGGTAATGTTTTATATTTAAACTTTAAACTGATTTTTTTTTTTTTCATCTTTCATCTCTCCTAAGAGTCATCATTCTGGAATGCTTTGTGTCATGAGAGTGTCACCTACATTACCAGGACTCAGAATTGATTTTATCTTTAGTCTCCTAAGTAAATATGCTGCTGGTATAAGACATACCTTGGACACACAATTGCATCAGAAGCACCACCTTGAGACCACTGATGAAGATGATGATGATACGAACCAGTCTGTGTCTTCCATAGAGGATGACTTTGTCACTGCTTTTGAGCAGTTAGAGGAGGAGGAGAGTACAAAGCTATATAATGATGGTGTGTGCCTTTTACTAGACTTTTTCTTCAAAATAGATTGAAGTTGAAAGTTCAATTTTTGGAGTTTTAAAGGAGACTTAGCAATTGAAATTTATTTTGAAATTTGATCCAGTTTTGTAATTTTTTTATTACAGAGGAACTAATTTTCCTGTGATATTTAGTTTCATTATTAACTGCTTTGTAATTTGCTTTTTTTTCTTCTTAGATAGTGTTGTTCAAGCCTTGTTTATTTCATAACCTCGTATCTGGAACTTTGCTGTGTTCAAATGTCAAAACAACTGGTATTAAACTACTATTTTTTCAAACATAAATGGCAATGTGCTGAGCATTCCATAGGTCATATATCTGGAGACAGGGTAAAATGGGATTGTTTTATTAAAAGGTACATTTGTTCCTGAGTGTTACTGGGAATGAAGTTTTTGTTAAATAACATAGTATAGGAAACATTTGTGATGTAAGTATTTTGTGCTTAATGTCAATTTTTTAAAACAAGTTTTCTAGACTAATGGAAGATTTTTATTCTTTTTCCTTAGAAATAAATATTTCTACACTAAGGAACCGGTGTGATGCTGCCTCTCAGACTACTTCTGGTCACCATTTAGAAACCCATGATTTTAAAGTACTGGTCAGTTATGGACCACAGAAGTCATTGGCTAAGCCTTCATCTTCAATACATGTTCTGGGACACAAAGAAACATCCTCTGTGAAAACATCGGTTACAACATCAATTTCAGAACCCTGGGCCCAAAGGAGTCTCTACAGGTCATCCAGTGCTTCAGATAAAGGCAGGAATACACAGGAGATACTTGTTCCTTCTTCTCCTGCCCATTCCTCAGAATCTGAGTGCTCAAGCCCAAGTCCTGTAATTTTTTTGGATGAAGAGGGATACCAAAAAAGTTTAAAAGCAAAACTTGAGTTGCCTGAAATCCCTGTGACAAAAGATGATGTAGAGGATTCAGACTCAGAAGTGAGTGAGTTTTTTGATAGCTTTGATCAGTTTGATGAACTAGAGCAAACTTTTGAGACTTGTCCATTTATGAAAGATCCTGGTATAGGGAAGTCATTGCAGAAGATAGGGCACAAACATGAAAAATCTTGTATGAATCCTCAGAAATTCAAGTTTGAGTGTCCAGCTCTTCCGGCTAATGTTAGAAAGCCAACTCCACGAAAACCCGAGTCTCCATATGGTCACCTGTGTGATGCTCCAGATTCCCCTCGTCCAGTGATAACATCAGAAGACAGTGGCTTGTTTAGTCCTATTCGAGCCTCTGCTTTTAGTCCTCCTGGAAGCTGTACTCCTGCTGAATGTTTTTGCCAAACAGATATTGGTAAAGATAAGAATCATGAAAATCAGGATCCTATTTATTGCACTTATGAAGATTATGCAAATAATCTTTCATGTGAAGTACTAGGCTCAGTTCTTCATACTCAGTGTACAAATGCAACGTCAGATATTAATAGTGTTAAAGGGGGAGAAAATTATACTGTAGCTTTTAAGCATGGAAATTCCGATCAAAAAAGTAAGTGTAAAAACAAATCTTCAATGATTACTGACAGCGTTCAGAAGTTTGCAGCAGATCTTGTAGGAAAAAGTTTTGGTAATGCATTTAAAGACTTACAGAAAGGAGTTTCCTCATGTACCAATGCACTGTGCCACTTTGCTGTCAAATTGACATCATCTGTTTTGCAGATGGCATTTAATGAACTTAGAAGGCAGTGTGCATTTTCACTGAAAGAACGAGCCATTGGTAGCCTGGCAAGTCTTTTGGTGAGTGAAGCCTTATCAAATGCCTTGAAAGATTTGCAGTATGTGAAAAAACAGATGTTTACAAACACAGTTGCTAGGTTTGCTGCAGATCTTGCAGAAGAGCTTGTTTTTGAAGGCATCATGGAAGTGTGTCAGTTTTCTTGTCCTCCAACACCTGCGTCTCAACAGTGTCCATCATTTGACTTTGAAGACAAAGTCGTGAAGTCATATGCCAAAGATTTGTCTGAATCTGTAATACAAGAAGCATTCATAGAGCTGTCACAGACGGATGTGACCTTCACAACAAAGGCAGCAGTTAATGTTTCAATGGGTAATGTCAATTATGTGAGTACAGAAAGTGGAGTGCCGCCTACACAGACTTTCAGACAGATGAGATTTTCCTCATCCTTTAGCAGTCAAGCAATTATGACAAAGCCAGTGCAGGAGCATAAGAAGGAGTATACAGTGCAGCAGGCCTTGTTTTGTACTTCGGGACTTGTCACTTCCATACCAGTACCTTTGGCAGGTAGTGCCCTTCTCCCGTATCATATTTCCTCTACTTTGAATCAGTCCAGGTCTCATCTGTCATCTGAGCAGAGTAAAGCAAATGATGGTTCTACCCAAGAGCACATCTCCACAGAAAGCAGTGAAGAGGAAGTGGATCGTCTCAGAGATAGCCTTCTATCTTCAGAACTCGATCCATGTAACCAGAATGACTTCAAACCAACCAACCGTGATACTGACCTACAGAGTCCTTCAAAAATAACTAGTGGCCCTGTAATTATTAGCAACTTTTCTGCAGCAATGGTACATACAATAGTCAATGAAACCTTAGAGTCCATGACAACCTTCAAAGCTACAAAAACTGTTGATGCACATGCAGATTATTTAACTAAAACAAAGGGACAAATCTGTCCTTCCATTTGTGACCAAGCAGTACCACAACAGAGCAAAGCTAGCAGTAAGGACATGTTTGCTGAGCAGTTATCAAAGTCAATTATTAAACATTCCTTGGATAAAAGCAAATCAATGCTTCCAAATATAGATAACAAAACAGTTAATAAGGAACACGTGCCTGTTCTTGGGGAAGAATCACAGTTGATCTTAGAGGAAGCTCCCAAATTTCTTGGCTTTCCAGATCACTTACCTCACTCTTCACTCTTGGCTGGAAAGCATTGTGTTCCAGAATGTAAAGATTCTGTGGGGTTTGGATTTTCTTTAGAGACACTGCCACCTTGTTCAACAATGTCAAGTCAGAAATCTGACTTGAAGGAACTTGTGAAGGATAAACCAGTGAAAAGGCATCATTTGAATACTACTGCACTTGAGCCCTTGTCTTATGGGCTGGAAAGCTCTTTCCGTCACTCACATGCTTTGTCGTCTGCAGTGCTCACCAGTGTAGATGGTTTGCATGGGGAAGATAAACAGAAAATCAGAGACAGAAATGTAATACCTGATACTCCTCCATCAACTCCTTTAGTACCATCCCAGACTAGTTCTGAATGGGACATAAAAAAACTAACCAAAAAACTCAAGGGGGAGTTAGCCAAAGAATTTGCACCTGCCACACCACCCTCTACACCTCACAACTCCTCTGTTGGTAGTTTGTCTGAGAATGAACAGAATACTATAGAGAAGGAAGAGTTCATGTTGAAGCTCATGCGGTCTCTTTCAGAAGAAGTTGACAGCAGTGAGGGTGAAGAGCACCTGGAAGCGGATGTGAAGTCAGAGTGCTCGGGAAAGAAAGTGCACTTTGCAGAAGCATTAGCTACACACATCATTTCTCTTGCAACTGAAATGGCAGCCTCTCATTTAGATCATGAAGTCACTCAAGAATCCAAGGCTCAAAACCCTCACTTAAATGTGCAGAGTCAAAGAAGTGGGCTGTCTGCTTCTTTAAATCATTCTCACACAAACATGCAGACGTGCAGTTTTGCAAGTGATCTGGCAGCTGATGTGATTGCAGAAGCCGAGAAAATTGCAAAAGCTAGAAGTTGTATGCTTTTCAGGCAGGAGAGGAACAGTTGTCATGTCGATGTTGACCAAGACAGAGCAGAAGAGAAGCTGAGTGTGGAGGATGTTGCATATCCAAGAGAAGTAGATCCGTTTGTTCTTTCATTACCACACTGTACACCAGGTCTGACGTACAGGTATCCCAGTTGTGAAAGTGTGACTGACGAATATGCAGGTCATGTCATCCAAGTGCTGAGACAGGAAGGTGGCAATGGTGAACTAATCATGGATCAGTATGCCAGCAGACTGGCCTATCGATCTGTCAAGTCAGGAGTGCAAGAAGCAGCTAAGACACTAAAAATGAAGTACAGTTCAAAAACGTTCCCTTTGCACAACTCTCATGTGAAAATAAGCAAGGAACTGTTGCTCTCAAATACAGAGCATCTCCAGGTAGATAAAAGACAAAGCAGAAGAAATGGTGAACATCTTTGTAAATACCAACCGTGTGAAAGGACACAGGCTCCGTGTGGAAATGAACTCTCTGAACTGTACAGTTTTTCAGCCTCTCTTGCTAGCATCATAACAAGAGATGTTAAGAAACAGCTGACAGCACCTATAGTTGACTTGACACAATACTCAACAGATTCATGTCGTTTTGAAAAATCTGGAAGTGTTGACAAGGGCGAGAGTATTATTGAACCAGAATTTTCAAAGTCTCATCAACCTTTGCAAAACCATGGATTCTGCCAGAATACAGGCAACTTAAGTGGACATAGTCATGGAGAGAATGCTCAAGCTTTAGAACAGTATGCTAGAAAAGTAGTGGATGACACTTTAGAGCTAAGTTTAGGATCTACAGTTTTCCACATTCCAGAGACCACAGCATCAGCAGATAGAATCACTTACGCAGAAAAATTGTCACCACTCATGAATGGTGCTTGTAGATACTGTGACCTTAAGGAACGCCATAGTTGTGCCAGAAGTCCTTCCCAGCCCCCTTTAAAACAGAGTGTGTGTTCTAGTGCTAAGCCAGGTTCACATTTAAAACGTAGTAGCATCCACCAGAAATCGAGAATTTTTCATCTTGATGTGCCTCAGATTCATGTTAATCTTGATAAAAGGGCAGTGCTTGCAGAGAAAATAGTTGCTGAAGCTATTGAAAAAGCAGAGAGAGAGCTGAGCAATACCAGTCTGGCAGCTGATAGTGGAATTGGACAAGATGGCATCAGCTTTGCTGAGAGCCTTACCACAGAAATCATGACATCAGCTGTGACAAATGCTGAGCACGCTGTTAACAGGTATGTTTCAAATTTTCTTTGGGGTCTTGTGAAATGAAAATGAAAAGTTAACTTTTTTTTCTCTGTTCATTTGTTTATGGCTTCTTATCCTGTGCATGGTTTTCACATGAAATATTTGTTTCCCAATCCCTTTTGAGGAACGTTATCATCCATTTACAGGGCTGGAAGATGAGAGTTAGAGAACACAATGACCTCAAATTGACAGAACTAAGAAACAGGTAAAATTAAAGAAACTGGTGAACTTTATTCACAGATTTAAACTAGTAATATTGACTACTCTGAGATTAAAGTCTGTTCTGGGGTTGAAGCAGCTTTCTACATGTGACCTTGGACCATTTTTATTCTTTCTCCCCTATCATAATTTCTTCATAAGAGGAGCCTAGGTGGAAGTTCCTAAGCCCTCAGTCTAGGACCTAGCACATAACTTTGCTATTCATTCTTCGGAATATTCATTTTCTTCTTTAGACCCGGCCAATAATATACCTTGAGTTCTTCCTGTAAGCTTTTTTAATGCAGGCTGGTTTTGTTCCTGTGTCTTTTCTAGCATTTGTGCTAGGCTTCCCTAAGTACTGTTCAAAGTCCATGCAGTTATATAGAGTTCTGCTTCACATTTTGTAAAGTTAACATGATTTAAGGTTGAGGAATGATGGATTCAAATAGATTATTTGCTAAGATATTAACTGAATGGTCTCACTAATGTCCCTTTTCTCATAAATGTTTGATTAATGGAGGTAATCATAATAGTAGAATATATAGTAGAATGTCACAAACCCATAATGCTCATCAGGGTGCCGTATGAATATAAAATAGGAAAGCATACTATAGAGGAGTTTTAGAACATAATATATCTAGATTTTATTTTCAATTGCTGTGAGCCCAGTTACCTAACAATCATTACAAACTCTCCTTTTAACTTCCTCCTGTGGGTCATTTTCTTAAAAAAAAAAGTGGTAGGTAAGAGGAAAAGATGTTAAATAAAATAAAATTGTGGTGTAGGATGACTGTTTGGAATACTGAACTGAGTTGTTATGTCTTAAATAAAAAGTGAGAATTGCCTAAAAAGTGGGGAGGGCAGGGGCAGCTCAGGGCTTATTTTAGGTTTTAGGGATATAAAAGAAATGGAAACAGGCAAAAAAAATCTCTGTTCTCCAAGAGCTTATATTATAGTAGAATAAGACAAACAGCAGATAAATGAGCTGAACAAGGACAACAGTGGACATGCTAATGTGGACAGGCAAAGCCTACGAGGCCTCAGCCCTACACAAAGAACTGCGGGAATGCTGAGAGTGGGAGATGTAGTCTTCCCCAGGTAAGAGCACACCAATACCAAATGGTTAGCCCTGAAATATACAAGGAATATTATGTAGAGTAAGCAGGTTGAACTTCTGTATTTAGGAATATATATGTCTTTCCATATACATATGTATGTAACAACAATTAATGAAAAAAAAGATCATGAATTTGAAAGAACAGGAGGGACATATGGGAGGGGTTGGAGGGAGAAAAGGGGAAGGGGAGGGTGATGTAATTATAATTTAAAAGAAATCATTAAAAAAATACATGTTGTGAGTTCCTTACTCAAGAAAGGGAGTATCGTTAGCAGAGGTGAGCAAGGACTGTTGGGGCCGGCTTGCATTTTTGAATTGGGAGCAGAGAAACAAAACTAATGGAGTAATGCTTAAGCCAAGAGCCAAAAGTGAAGGTAAAGATTGGGAATCTGGGGGTGCAGGGATCCAGGCAGAGGGATGGGAGTGCATGTGTGTGACACAGAGAGCTTGTGTTGCTGCTGAGTGACTTGGGGATTGTAGGTGACAAAGTGAGAAATATGAGGGGACTATACATCACGATTGCTTTGAAGCCAAAGGAAGGCTTTGATCCGAAAACTGATAGTTTTTCTCTTCATGCTTAAAGCATCACTCTTTAGAAATATGTTGAGTAAGTGTACATACATACATACATACATACATACATACATACATACATACGGCACAATTAGTATAGTTGCTTTAAATGAGCTTTGTTTTTTTTTTTTTACCATGTCATAAAGATGCAAATGTCCCTTCATTTAAATAAATAAAAGAATTGGGCTGGAGGAATGGCTCAGCTGTTAGAGGCTAGACTCTCAACCAAAAAAATACAAGATTTTTTTTTTAAAGATAAACCTTGGTTGTCTTAGAACTATGTAGACCAGGCTGGCCTTGAACTCACAAAAATCCATTGCCTCTACTTTCCAAGTGCTGGGATTAAAGGCCTGTGTCATCATTCCCTGCTAAGAAAGATGTTTCTGATTCATGTTCTGAAGAGATTTGTCTAGTTTGAATATAGATGTGGTTGATACCACTGGAATTTCAAACCTCCAGAAGGAGGCTCCTTCAGATGCAAATAAAGGTACTGTATCTTTACAAGGCTAATGACATGTAGACCTTGTAGGAAGGCATGCTTCCTTTAGATAGAGTGTAGATAAACAGTACACAGGGACATCTCCACGTAGCAAATTGGTTCTTGCTGTGCTGTTCTTCAGTCTCATTATTTGCAGATACAGTGAAGTCTTCAGAAATCATTTTATTTCCTCATCTGTGATGCTTTCATTATTTTTAAAATTATTACCATGTGCTCTTTTGTTAGTTCAAAGGAAATAGAAGATTTTCAGTCAACTGAGTCACTTGGCAGCCAGCAGCTGAATCTGAGTGTTGGTGAGGACAGTACTGGTAGCTGGTCCAACTTAAGTTTTGAGGATGACCACCAAGATGAAAGCAGCAGTTTTCATCATCTCAGTGAAAGGTAACTCTGATTTTATAGTTATGTGATAAAGGAATTCAGACTTCAGCAAAGTGAGCAGTGGATTTACATTATTATTTGAAATGTTCAACCTGGCAATCTGTTCTTACTTCTAACATTATTATTCCCAGTGTGCCTTTTTGTTTGGTTTTATTTTAATTCTTTTTGAGGGGATGGTTCTTCTGGTATATAGCTCAGGCTGGTCTTGAAGTTAAGTTTCTCCCTCAACCCCTCAGGCTGGATTATAGGCTTGAGGCTTATATTGCTGTGCCTGGCTTCTAGATGGTGTTGTCATGCGTTAAGTACATTTGGAGCAGACCTAGTGCTCTTTGGGTGTGCTGAAAGCTGACTTGAAAAAATATTGTAGATACTATTTATTTACATTTTAAGCTTTCATGGTGCTTTAGGAGTATAATTTATCACTTTAAAGAGCATTCTTTCATTAGTGAGTGAGAAAAAGGACAGGTAAGCAGCCATAAAAGACATCAAGATAGCCCTATAGTTTTCTTGATGTAAGCTAAAATAAATAGTATCTTTAGGCAGGAAGAAAGGGTCCTTAGATTTGTTCTGCTAGGAACAAAATGGTGAGCCTTTATGTAGCTTCTTAGATTAAAAATATGAAAATTGAATCGGTGATAAATAAGAGTTTTATACCTAAAGACATTTACTTCATATGTAAGTTTTCTAAGCTAACTTTGTTTATAAGAGTCATCTTTGAAATATTTTGTTCTGATGTAATTGTTTCTTACAGTCTCACCTCCGCCTAAAGGCTTTATTAGATCATAAACAATATATCACCACACCTGAGCAAAATTTAGCAAGACCCTGTCTCAACAAACCAGTTTAGAGTTGTGAAGTTATAGCTCAGTGCTAGAACACTCGCCTACATATGTAAGGGTTAGGTTCAGTTCCCAACACATCACACATACAAAATTTATGTTTAGATGAGAAGAGGTCCGAATTGGACAGCTCTTGAGGTAATTTTTGTATCAGAATATGTAGTAGTCACGAATGGAGTCAGAGCCACAATAAAGAATTTCAGTATTTTAACAACCACTGCCTTGAGAGTACACCTGCTCTATGAAAAGACAAAAGAAAAAAAAGTGTCAGTAGCACAGTGGTTCAGGAATAGCATAGGAAGTCTACTAAGTAAAGAAAAGAGGCTTTGCTTTATACTTCTATGTTGGCTCAAGGTAAGGTGAGCCCATGCTTGCTGGTTTGCTTGTGTGGCTCTGGTATAATCAATTGTTCAACAGTAACTCCTTCTGATGGAAGTGTTCTGCTTAGATGAAATATCTGTTAGCTAGCGGGAAGTAGTATTCTGTAGATTACTGACTTCACATCTGAACCACTTTGAAAAGTAGGAGCAAGATGAGGCTAGAGAGATTTTGCATTTATTCTTTCTGTTACTTACCTGTTACTTCTCATATTTATCTAATACTTACATGATGGATTTTTATTACTAACTAGATTGAAAAGTGGTTGTTAATAGAATATGGGTAAGAATTTTAATTTTGTGTTTTTCTTTGTTTAGAAAATAATTTTCTTAAAGCAGATAGGGTTTGAAATCATTAATCTCTCCCTTTTTTGTTTATAGTTGTCTGTTCTGGGCTGCTGTGTTTTCTGTGTTTTAGTTTGGCTAATGGCAGACTGGTGGTAAAACTTTGGTTGTCTTTATGGTTTTATAAATGGAATTTTATTTGTTTGAATATATGTTGAAAAGATGGCTTAGCTTTACTTTTATTCCTTAATGCATTGTAATTTGTAAAAGTTTGATACTGTTAAAGTGAAAAATGGGTGAGTAATTACGTGAGAATGCTTAGAAACTTATTAGAATTTTAGGTAATCATGACTTTGGTTACCTTGACAACACTTAACTGATGCACATGTTAAAGAACCAAAATTTAGGTTTGTATAGATGATAACTTATGGTTGACTAGCTGAGAATGGGAAGTAAAGCTGCTTATCACTGCTAACTAATGTGCTTACTAATTACCTTAATAATTAGAAATGATTAGAATTTTTAAGCTGCATCTTGAAAATTTTAATCAGAAAAAGACTATAATTTTGTTTTTGAAAAATGGTTATTTTTCTACCCCCTCCAAACACTGCTTTGCTGCAGTTGTAGATTGTTGCTTCTTTCTTTTGTCTAAGGAATAGAAGAATTTAGAGCTGTGTGTGGCCCTGCTTATTCTAGCTTTCTTCTCAAGAAAGTATGCTGTTTGCCATCTGCTTATTGTGTGTAATGTAAGAAATAGATAATTGGCATATTGATGTAATCAGATCTTTAAAATCAGAAGGCAAGGAATGTTTGAGACAGTCTCCCTCACACCTTATCATTGTTTTGTACTATTTGGAAATCCCAGAAGACCTCGGTTTAGGTCCCCCTTTCCTTTTTAAATTTTATTCAAACTGAGGATTAGGAAAGTGTATTGCCTCTTTTTGTTCTTGTTTCTTATAAATTATCTGCAAAGATTTGCCATGAGATACTACTTTTATCATGCAGTCATTTGTCATTCTAAAAATTCTGTTGTCTTAATCTGCAAAACAAATGTAAATTTAGAATAATTCTGTGATGTTTTGAGGCAATGAAAAGAATCACTAAACCAGTGATGATGGCACAGGTGTTTAATCCCAACACTCTGGAAGCAGAGGCAGGTGGATCTCTGAGTTCAAGGCCATCCTGGTCTACAGAGCAAATTCCAGGACAGCCTACACAGAAAAGGCTACACAAAGAAACACTGTTTCTGGGGGAAAAAAATCTCTGGTCTGCAACCCTGCCAGTTATCCTTTATGGAATAGCAGCGACAGTCTCTTATCTTAACCCTTTGTGGATGCTCTACTCCACTGTGGCAGCTTTAGGACAGAAGCTGTTCCAAGGAAACACAGGTAGTCTTCACTATTCATTTTCTAGTTCAGCTCTGTTCTTTTTTCCCTCCAGCAGTAATGGTAACAGCAGTAGCTGGAGCAGTCTTGGTTTAGAAGGAGATTTGTGTGAGGACAATTTATCCTTTCCAACATCAGACAGGTTGGTCCAGTTTAGACACTTAAAAACTGATGAGTCTTTCTTTCACCACTAATGCATGATGTCATGTTCTTAAGAGAGCCAATATGTATCAACCTGCTTTTCTCCTGAATTTTGACATGATTCTGCTCGATACATTTACATCTAATGAAAATTTGTACTGGCTAAAATATGACTGACATCTAATTGTAAAATGTATGACTGTTTGCATGAGTTGCTCTGCTTGCTATTTTTCATTCTACCAATGATTTCATTAAAAAGAGCTTGCTTCCTACAGGATTTCTGTTGTTTTCTTTTTTGTTTTGTTTTCCTGTGTAGTTTAATTTCATATATAGTAAGAGTAGAAAATTGTTTAAAAACATATGAAATGGCATTAGTAGAAGCAGTAGTACTTCATTATTCATGACAGTCTATGATATTCAAATAGCATATTACTTAAAACCAAATTAGAATATTTCACCTTCGTTTGAAGTAGCTTGGCTTTAAATGTCACGATAAGTAAGGGCTTCTGTAGGCACTATGTGCAGTCCCAATTTTAACATGAAATAATGTGAGAAGCAAAGCTTCCTTTTGATTGTCATTTCCTTCTTTCTAAATGTCACATGTCATGTAACATTTCATTCCTTACTACTCTTCTGAGAAGTGGTTTTAATCCATTACTAATTAAGATTTTTTTTAACTCCTTGTGTTACTTTCTTTGAAAAGTGATGGACCAGACGATAGAGATGACGATCAGGAGGATGGTGTGGAAGGTTAGTGACAGTTCGTTTCTCTGAGCCTTTGTTTGTGTAAGTCTTTATGGTTTGTATTTATGCCACGTACAGATAGGTTTTTCCATTGTTGGTATCAAACACCACAAATCACCCTGTCTCAGAAACACAAAGTTTGAGGACGAAGTCTAGATATGTTTTCTCTTCAAAATTAAGTCTAAAATCCTTATTCACCTTACAAAATTAATTTATCATAATTAGAGCATATTATTTATTACCCTGTTCTTTAGTTACTTTTCTTGTGGGTTCGACAAAGTGCTTGCGAAAAGGGAAGGAGTTTCATGCAGGGAGCATGGCAGTGGGAACTGGTGGCTGGAGGAGGGGCAGACAGAAACCAGCTGGAGCAAAAGGTTATTCTTCTCCAGCGGAGCCATCCCACTAACTCAGATTATTCTGTAGAGATACTTTTAAAGGTCTGACTTTATTTTATGCAGATGGATGTTTTGCCGACATCTGTCTGTGTAGTACGCCAGAAAGGAGCATTAGATTCCCCTGGAACTGGAGTTACAGCTATCACGTGGGTGCTGGATGTCAAACTTGACTTTTCTACAAGAGCAGCCAGTGCTCTTTAACTACTAAGTCATCTCCCCAGCCCTTATTATCATTTTTAGAGTTAATGATGCCCCAGGCAAAAGTGGCACATGCCTTGAATCCCTGCACTCAGGAGGCAAGGCAAGCAGATCTCAGTGAGTTCGAGGCCAGCCTGGGTTCCAAAGCTACAGAGAAAACACTGTCTCAAAAAACAACAACAACAAAAATAGTAATAATAAATAAATACAAGAATTAGTGCTTGTCTAGGTAATGTTTCGTTTACTTTTGCTCATTAATGTGTTGGTCTTTAAAAGTCATATACTTTTCCCTAATAACTCTCTTGAATACCATTGTTTCAGAGGCTATCTATGTATATATGCATGCTGTATTATTACTTAGTTATTATTATTAATTATTACCTAGTTATTACTTAACTACCTTTGCCGAGGAATGATTAAGAGAAGAGGTATAACTTAATATAAATAAAATAATTAATTAAAAGAAGTTATCAGTAGGCATGAGAATTTTTTCTGTCAATATGTAGAAACAAGGAAGTTAATTATATATAGTTGTGCCATTCCTGAGCTCTTGACATGATAGGCATCTCTCATATATGAAGTTACAGTGAACTTTCAAATTTGTTCCATAATTTAGAAGATAGATTGATTTAGATTTACAGAAAGCCTCAAAATTAGGGAATTTTCACAATAACAGATATCTGCTTTTTTTTTTTAGTAGACTTTCTTTTTTTTATCATTTTTTATTTTAATTTTAAATAACTTGTTTTACATGTCAATCCCAGTTCCCTCTCCCTCCCCTCCTCCCGCACTCCCCTTCCCCCCCCCACCCTCCCACCCTATTGCCAAATCCTTCCACATAGGGGATATCTAGAGTCTGTCACTTCACTCTGGGTAGTGTCCCGGCACTCCCCTAAGAGTCCAGGCTGAGAGAGCATCCCTCTATAGGCACATGATAACTGTTTGTATTCCAGGGATAGACACTGATCCACAACTCAGGGCCCCATAGGTTGCCCAGGCCTTCTCACTGACACTCACATTTGGGGGGTCCAGATCAGTCCCATGCTGGCCTCCCCACTGTCAGTCTGGGGTCCAAGAGCTCTCCCCTGTTCAGATCAGCTGTCTCTGCCGGTTTTGCCAGCCCAATCTTTGCCAATTTGCTCATCACTCCTCTCTCTCTGTCACTGGGTTCCTTGGGTTCAGTTCAGTGATTAATTGTGTGTTTGCCTCTGCTTCCATCAGTCACAGGATGAAGGCTCCCGGATGGTTATAGACATCAAGTTCGTTATCAGGAATGGGCATTCGAGGTGGTCTCTCCACTGTTGCTTAGCTTGCCAATTGGTGTTATCCCTTTAGATCACTCGAGGTTGCTCTGGTGCCTGATCTGTATTCGATTATGATTCCCTCTTCCCCCTATTCTACCCCTACCCACTCAACTTCCTGATCCCCCATGACCAACTCTCTTCCTCTTCACCCCCTCTCTTCTTCCCAGCTCCCAACCCCCCACCCCTCGCCGTGTTCCCCATCCATTCAGAGGATCTTGTCTCAATCCTCTTCTCTTGGGTACTATGCATATATGCATATTTTTAGGTTCTTTCCTGTTTCCCAGACTCTCTATCAGTGGAAGTGCAGACTGGCACTATCCTGATCCATGTTTAAAATCCATATATTAGTGAGTACATACCATGTTTGTCTTTTTGCGACTGGGTTACCTCACTCAGGATGGTTTCTTCCAGTGCTATCCATTTACCTGCGAATTTCAAGATTCCATTGTTTTTTTCTGCTGAGTAATACTCCATTGTGTAAATGTACCACATTTTCTCTATCCACTCTTCAGTTGAGGGGCATCTAGGTTGCTTCCAGGTTCTGGCTATTACAAATAATGCCACTTCTGGCTATTACAAATAATGCCGCTATGAACATAATGGAGCAGATGCCCTTGTTGTATGAATTTGCTTCATTTGGATATATGCCTAAGAGTGGAATTGCTGGGTCTAGTGGTAGATTAATTCCCATTTTCCTGAGGAATCTCCATACTGATTTCCAAAGAGGCTGTATGAGTCGGCACTCCCACCAGCAGTGGAGGAGTGTTCCCCTTTCTCCACATCCTTTCCAGCGTAAATTGTCTTCGGTGTTTTTGATTTTAGCCATTCTGACAGGAGTAAGATGGTATCTCAGAGTTGTTTTGATTTGCATTTCCCTGATGGCTAAGGATGTTGAGCACTTTCTTAAGTGTCTCTTGGCCATTTTAGCCTCCTCTATTGAGAATTCTCTATTTAGTTCTGTACCCCACCTTTTAATTGGATCCTTTCGTGTTTTGGAGACTTGTTTCTTGAGTTCTTTGTAAATTTTGGAGATTAGCCCTCTGTCAGATGTAGGGTTAGTGAATATCTTTTCCCATTCTGTGGCCTGCCTTTTTGTCTTTTTGACTGTGTCCTTTGCCTTACAGAAGCTTTTTAGTTTCAGAAGGTCCCATTTGTTAATTGTCGATCTTAGTGCCTGTGCCACTGGTGTTATGTTTAGGAAGTGGTCTCCTGTACCAACTCGTTGAAGAGTATCTCCCACTTTCTCTCCTAAAAGTTTCAGTGTGGCTGGATTTATGTTGAGATCTTTGATCCATTTGGACTTAAGTTTTGTACAAGGCGATAAACATGGATCTATCTGCAGTCTTCTGCATACCAGTACCCATTTATGCCAGCACCATTTGTTGAAGATGCTTTCTCTTTTCCATTGTACAGTTTTAGCTTCTTTGTCAAAAATCAAGTGTTCATAGGTGTGTGGGTTAAAATTAGGGCTTTCGATTCGGTTCCATTGGTCTACCTGCCTATTTTTGTGCCAATACCAAGCTGTTTTCAGGACTATAGCTCTATAATAGAGCTTGAACAGATATCTGCTTTTTAAACCTCCCTTTCTTCCTTTTTATTTGTTTTGGTTAGGAGCTATTAGCCCCAATCTCTGTTAAGTTTCCCACCAGGCCAGGCCAGGCAACCAGCAGATCCAAAGTGAGGAAACCCTAGCAATGTAGAGAAACATTAAATAACCTAGCTTTAAACTCCAGAAACACTGCAGGGTTTTCTAAGGGCCATAGACACTATGTCTTGTTCCACAGTATATCAGATCTATTTTGAAATGAGTAGATATACAAACCATTTCCTAAATTAATTTTTGATGTTGAGCATACAAAGTGATGGATGGGTTTCATGTTTTCTGGATGTGTATCATCTTCTTACTCATCCCTGTCTCTCATTGTCCCTCATTCTCCTGTGCTTCTCTCTGGCTGGTCCTTCCCCCACCACATAATCTTCCCTTCTGCTCATGTCAGTTGACTCCTATTACCCTTGCTTCCCTCACCCTTAAGATGGTTTTCCTTTTCTCTCAGGTGTCTTCCATCTACTTTCATGATCCACGCAAACATGCATTTGTGCCTGTGTATATATATAATTTTAAATGTTGATTCTGCATATGAAAGAAAACATACACTAGACCTACTTTTGATTGAGACTAACTGGCCCAAAGGGAGAGAAAAGATAAATTCCTGAGAATACCATGGATTCAAGTTTTTACATTAAAAATAGAGAGCCAACACAAATCCTAAAAATAATTAGTAGTGTCTAGAGTTCTTTATATACTATAACAGAAAAATGCCCATCAACGAGAAAGAAATCCATCAACATTTCCATTATTAGTACATACTGGCTTGCGGACTGTTAACACGCCCTAGATACTCTTGTACTCAGTCATCCTTAAGCAGGAATATTGAACATGATGTTGGTTCACAGGCCATTCCTCTATCAGCTAGCTAGGATATCTCCTTTGTGTTGAAAGCATCATTCTCGTTAACAAGGAAATAAACTTGAGAGCACTGCCATTTTGTATTACATTTAAATTCACTTCAGACAGTATTTTACATTTGTTTCATCAGTAAAAAAAATTAACATTATTCCTTTGCTTTAGCATTTTTTTGTCCTTAAGAAATGCTTTATTTGGTTTTATTATCTAGTTAAGGAAAGCACTGGGATCTTTAAATTAAAACCAGAGTTTAGAAACTTGAGTTGATGAAATTCACTTCATATTGTTTAAATTTATTGTTAGATTTGCAACAAGATGGAAAGACTCTGCTAATTATGAACATTGACCTGGAGCCAGGAGCAGTAGATCCTCAACTAAGGATTATTCTTCAGTGGCTCGTTGCCTCTGAGGCTGAAGTTGCAGAACTTTATTTTCATGACTCTTGGAAGAAGGAGTTTATATTAGTAAGTATCTCTTTTCTAGTGCAGTTGTGAGGAAATACTAACACTATGCTATAATCTTAACACATTGTTGGTTTAGCAAAATGCTTGCTGGTTGCACAAATTAATACATAGGCTATGGAGTTTCACAGATGTTCAGATGTCCAGAAGGTGTAGCCTTGGGCAGATGAGTCAGTGAATGCCTCAGTTTTCTAGTTGCATTGTGGGATTAGGGGATATAGGATTTACCATGCAGGTTTGTGAGGATTAATTATAATACTGTAAAAAGAAAGTGCTTGATCTAATGCCTTAATCCTAAATTTAGGTGTCAGTAATAAACAGCTAATGTATTCTTAAGAAAAGAACCAGCTATTCTATTTTACTGATTCACAATTATACCCAATTAATTGTGAATGAGGTCTTTCTCATCCTCATGCAAATGGAGGCTGGTATAATGAAAAACTAACAAAAGATTAGATAAGGTACTTTTCTTGAGTGTTTTTTTAGCATCTATCAATAATGGTGTTAGTAGGGATTTTCTGCTTATAGATTTAAGAGTGTTTCTCCCCTGGTTTTCCTTATGAAAATTTATATTAATCTTACCATAGGATGTAAAACAGTCCAGTAAATAACCAATATAGATCTAGCAATAAAGACAGAAAATGAAAACTCACATTGCTCTTTGTTTCTGGTTCAGAATTTAGGACTATATTGTTGAAGGATGTGAACACTCTGAAATTGACTTTTACCTAGACTGGGGTTTATTAGCTCAAGACTTCTGTTTGTAGGAGGAGAAAATCATCTGGGAAGAGATGCTCAGGAAATGAATCATCAAATGGAAATGTGGGTCAGGGAATTGTTAGAACTGAGGCCTAAGGGCCTTGCCTACATGGGGTTGACAGATGGTTGCCAGAGGAGAAGACCTTACCATCATGTAGCGTAACCCGAGGATCTTTGCCTGACTGAGTCAAGTGCAATGTTCACTTGTGGATGGCAAGGTTTTATTAAACTGTAGCTTATTTTAACTGTATGGCTGATTTTAAATAATGACTCTCAGAGACCAAGTCTAACTAGGACAGGGCCACTATTTTATTTATAAATACATAGATTATATTTATATATATTATATAACAGGGCTTCTGGGGATATATGGAACAGTTAAGAGGCAAGTTCAGATTATGTTTGGTGGTAATGAGAATAATAGAAATACTGTATGTCTTTGGTTCATGTATTTAATTTTGATATTTTCACTATTAAGTAGAACAAACAGTATTACCTTAAGGATAAATGGAAGATGACATATGATTGTATGGAAAATATAAACATAGTTATATAAGTGGCAAAAGAGAAGCTAGATAAAAGACTTGCACTGAAAGACACTGTCAACAAACTGAGAAGACAATGCATATAAGAAGGAAGTACTTGTAGTTGTGTACTGGTAAAGTTCTTAGGCCTAGCACATAGTCTAACTTAAAAAATGGACCAAGAGTTATGACTTAATGTCTTAGGTATGATTTCTATTGCTGTAACGAAGCATCATTACCAAAAGTAAGTTGGGGAGGAAAGGATTTATTTGGCTTACACTTCCATATTGCTGTTCACTGTTAAAGAAAGTCAGGGCAGGAACTCAAGCAGGGTAGGAACCGGGAGGCAGGAGCTGATGCAGAGGCCATGGAGGGTGCTGCTTACTGGCCTGCTTCCCATGACTTGCTCAGCCTGCTTTCTTATAGAACCCAGGACCACCATAGGCTGTGCTCTTCCCCATTGATGACTTATTGAAAACAATGCCTTATAACTGGATCTCATGGAGGCATTCCTCAACTGAGTCTCCTTCTCTGATGGCTCTAGTTTCTGTCAAGTTGACATAAACCCAGCCAGTAAACTGTATTTCTTGGGAAATAAAAACATGAAAGGGTGTTCAACCTTACTAGCCATTAGGAAAATGCAAATCAAAAACTACTATACTCTTTACACCTAGCAGGGTAACTATCAGTTATGGGTGATACTAATTGTGGGAGGATGTGGAGACACTGCATCCTTCATACAGTTCTTAGTGAGAATCTCAAATGGTGGAGCTGTTGTGGAAAACATCTGACAGATCCCCCAAATGCCAAGTACAATATTACCATCTTACCCAGCATGCCAGTGATCAGTGGCATGCACTTGGGAGACATAAAACATATGTCTACACAAAAACCCGTGTAGAAATGTCCATGACAAAATTATTTATGGTAGGTACAAAGTAAGAATGTGTTACAGGCCTATAATCCCAGCACTCTGGAGGCAGAGGCAGGAGTGTTACTGTATGTTTGAGGCTACCCTGGGCTAAATAGGGAGTTCTGGAAAAGTAAGGGGTATATAGTAAAACCCTGTCTCAGACAGATAAACCAGAACAGAACAAAAAGAGTTATCCATCTGTCCATCAGCTAATAAATGGAAGAGGAGCTTTGTTGGTTAGTAAAAGTAGTAAGGCAGCGATACCACTATACTAAGCAGAAGATCATGCACAGAATTCACAGTTCCACTTCTATGAACTAGGCAAATCTGTAAGGCACAAAGTACATGAGTGCTTTATCTGAAGGAGTTAGGGAAGATGAAGAGGAGCTTCTGATGTAGAGGGCTTCCTTCTGGTGTGAGGAGAGAGCTTTCCCGTATTGATTGTGTGGTGTTTGTCTTCAGTTCATACCAGAGAAACCCATTGCGTATGAATTCTATATCTCAAAGCGGTTTAGAGAAAAGAAGATTTGCAGTAAAATAGTTTTTCAGAATTTATTTTACAAATCTTTTCTAACTTAAGAATTCTCACAGAATTAAATGAGTAGACAGAAAAGGCAAGTAAGACCATGTTCTTTTTGCTGTGGTAGAGTTTGTTTAAACCCCTATTTACTCTTTTGCTTGCTTTTTTGTTGAAGCATTACATTTCTTAACTTAGAAAGCCATGTTTCCGTTGAGGCTAGAATGTTTTTCAGAACACAAACCACACTATATGTTGTGGAAAGAAAATCCACATCCTTTTATTAAGCTTGACAATGTCGTTATTATTCTATGTTCCTAATTGAGGGTGTGGCAGATGTATTTAGTTAGGTGAAGAATTTCCTGTAGATGGTTTGGCTCTGCACTCCCACACAGACTGTCCACCGCCAGGGTTTGTGTTCTGTTCCTAACAATCCTGAAGTGTCATTCTGTGGAGATGTGTTTATAAAGGGCAAGAAAGGAAAATGTTTAATTTGGGTAAAGGGGTGGTGATTGAGGGCAGATCTTATAATTGGGGACGAGTATCTCATTGTCAACAGCAAGGTTCTGTTTTGTCTGAAGATAAATATGAAAACTTGTTGCTACAACATTTTTTTCTCTTGCTGCATGCTAATGTGTGTTAATCTTTCTTTCTTAGCTTTCAAAACAGTTAAAAGAGAAAGGATGGAGAGTGGGAGATGTCCTTCAGGCTGTCTTTAAATACTACCAAGTGCTGGAAAAAGCTTCAAGTGAGGAAAGATGCAAGTCGCTGTTCAGTTGGCTTTTGGAAAATGCCTAGAACAAAATATGCTCCATACCAGTATATTTTATTGTTTTAGGAAGAAACCGATGATGTATGTTTAGGATAAAACTCATACAGAATATTAACATTTTAATTGCATTGAGAGGAAAGTAAGAAACCTTTTAAATGCTTTCTGCCCTCAAACTGTATATAGTTCATACTTTTGTAATCTTTGTCAAAATACTTACATGTGTTTGTGTTACGGCTCTGAGAAATGTCTGTGAAGGAGGATCTAACCCTGACGCTGGGGGCACTGTCTGACAGCATTTGTTTGGATCCACACAGTGCTGCTACAAACAGGGCTGAGGCGGCTGGCCTGGCCCCAGTAATGATTTTGTTCCTTTGAAAACAAGTGGCATCTGATGGTAAATCACCTGACATCAAGAAAGAAAGCGGAGGATGGTTTTTTTTTGTTTGTTTATTTCTGGATAAGTTTGTAATCTTTACTGTTTTTTCAAATCAGTCTAATTTCCATAGTTCAGCTGTAGGTACTTGTAGATTTCCTCAGACATTTAATTTGTTAGCACACTCATTAGTGATTTAGGATTCTGTGAACACCGTGAGTTTTTCCTAGCCTTCCATCAAGTGATGTTACTTGCTAATGCTGCCGATCATTCTGGAATGAGAAAGAAAATGGGGTGGGGGAGAGGTGTTGTGAGAGAGCGTGTGTGCAAGAATGAACTTTAACCTTCCCACTAGTTTATTATCTTTTACTTTAGTGTTTTCTTAGGTAGAAACCCACCATTAACATTAAATAAAATGTCTAAATGTTGTGCAGTAAGAATTTTGTCTTTATGATTTATTCCACAAATGAAAATTCAGGTTGTAAAACACATTGAAAATTTAAAAATTAATGTGGAAATACACTCAAAGGTGCCTAGTAATGATTTTCAGTGTTTGATTTTTGAAGAATAAATAAAAAACTTCCCACTTCCCCAAGAATAATTTTCTTTTAGCACAAAGGACCCTCCCCCCAGTAAAATGGAACTGTTTTATAATGTCCCCTCCCGTTGTCTTTGGCCTCCACATCCTTGCTGTGGTTTTAGAAACTGCAAGTTGACGTGAGATGAACCAGGAGGCTCTGTCTCAGTTGTGTCCATGATGTGTGTGCAAATGTTGCACACATTTCTTCCACTAATGGATTCTGGAATCAAGGGCAAATCATTTTTTTGTGTGTGTGTGGGGTCATTGATTTTGCTCTGTTATTTCCCCACTACAGCTCCAAAGCTCTGACTTTTCTAGCAATGAGTAGAAGACATGGCACCTACCAGGGCACTTACATTAATTTGAATTGGTAATTATGGTGAAGAAATGTATTTTATAGAGAAAGCCTTGCCTTTACTTTAAGTCCAGAAACAATTTAAATATTTTGAAACTACATTATAAGTTCTACTTTTTCTCAATTTAACACAGAGACACAGGGCCAGCCATAAAAATACATTTTTCTAAAATTTTCTGAAGTATTTTTTCAGAGTCGGGAAATGCAGGGAATTAAACCCAGGTGTGATTTCGTGCAGTTGTGAGCTTATGACTAAACTTGTACAAGGAACTTTCACACTGCACTTATGTAATTTGGGTATATATATTGGTCAGAGTACAGCAAAACTGAGCTTCAATTACTTTGAAGTAGAAATGGCTGTATGTTGATTTTATAAAACGGAAACTGCTTAGGCTCATTTATATTAGTGGTATACCCATTTGAGGCAAGCTTCCCCATGTGTTCCTGTTTGGCATTTGGTGAAGCTTCACTATGCCCAGTGTTAAGTGCTACCTAGTGACAACAGTCAGAGGTGTTGGCCTGAGTTGTAACAGTAATAGTAGGGACTCAACACTTGTGTCAGTTCTGTGTAGGAACACAGGAACGTTAGAAGTAGTGGGTGGGTGAGCAGAAGCGTGGGTGGTTTCCCTGTAGAAGGTGCTTGCATGTAGAGCGCCGTGCCATGGACCATGTGCAGTGTAAAGCAAACTGGTTTTGAAGCATTCTGTGGTTTTCCCGGACTCCTCCATCTGTTTGTGTGTTCAGTTTTCGGAGTGCCTCTGTTGAGGTAGCTTCGTCGTACAGATCTCGACATATTTGTATCGGAACATTGTATACTGCCATTATGTACATGTTGCTCCTAATATATTTTATTGGAAACTGTTAGAACTGTGATGTGCAGTGAGCTGGTTCTTGGTTTGCCAACTTTAGAGGCGTATTGTGATGGTCAGAAAGCAGGCGAGAGACCTCTATCGAGGAGCTTCTGGACTGATCTCACACTGAAATAGCGCATTTGTTTTGTGTCCGTCTTTTCCTAAGTTAAATGACATTTGTATTTTATGTGTTATTAATGTTGGTTTTGGAAATCATTTCCTGATTCACTCAAGAGGAATGCCATCACAAAACCACAGAAGAAATGGCAATAGAAATGGGCTGGCCTCCTTGTGTTGTAAAGCTAAGGTTACAGTAGCCTTCAGTGAATATATTTAGTGTCTTTGTACTTTGAGAAATGCTTTGTTTATCCCTGAAGATACTTAATGTGAATTAGTTCAATTCATACTACTATACTTCTGCTTAGCAAAGGGCTTCTATTGCTGGTAGGAAGCTCTATGTATCAAATGCACTGTGTAGAGTAAAGATAATTGACAGCTGGCAGCTTTGACAGTGGCAGTGCGTGTTCTCCAGTGTCGATTCCAGAGCCGTGTGGCTGCCTGCTATTTCTCCACAACTACTGTCACCAGTTCCTAGTCAGTGTATTGTTTTGTAGTTTTTCAGAGAAATCTTTACACAGAGTTTAAATATGCTAAGTCCACACATGGGTAGGGAAAATGCTTTCCATTTAAAGTCCTGTCTGCCTGTCACCAGCACACAAGAAGTAGAGAGTGTCTGTGGGAATTGGAAGTACTCCAGTGAAGTGCGCTTTCCTCATTTTAAGCACAAGGTATCCCTGGTTTACTGTGCGCCTGCTCTGCACCAGCAGGCGCGGTGCTGGTCACTCTTGCCACTTTATTTATTTATTTTGACCATCTGTACATTCCTTTCATGTAGTTAGAACTGAGTTCTTATTTCAATTTGTTGTACCATTTGAATACTATTTAATGCCAGGCGTATATGTTGCTGGATTCTTGCTGCCTTTGGTTACTTGTGCTGTGCTCAAAGTAATCTGCATTCTTGTTCAGTTACTGAATATATAGTAGAAGCAACTTTGAATAATTGTGGCCATTTATTTGGGTTTGCTCAATTAGTGCATCATGGACTTACAATGTGTAATAGTAACTTTTTTTTTTGGTCTTGAGTAATGTTCATTTATCAAAATAGGAACTTCAAGATGCACTTAAGTTTTGTTTTAGCAGTGACTCAAAAATGTTTCAGAAATTACTTTGTAATAATTTGCAATTAAGTGTTCTTTTCTCTTTACTCTTGTTCAAGCCTGTGATCTTTCCTCTCCCAGCTAAGAATTATTCAATAAATTTAAGAGATGTCAAGTCGTGGTTTTCATTCTGTAGCATCCTGTTCATTCTGTGTTAAACTAAAACAAAGGCATTCAAGACTGCTATGTTAGAAAATGTAAAAGGAGCTAGATGCTTGTGTTAATGGTTTTGTTTTGTTTTGTGTTTTGAGGCAGGGTTTCTCTATGTAGTCTTGGCTGCCTTGGAGCTCCCTCTGTAGACCAGGCTGGCCTCCAACTCAGAGAACCACCTGCCTCTGCCTCCTAAGGGCTGGGATTGAAGGCGTGCGCCACCATAGCTGGCTTAAGTCATGGTTTTTGAGGACAAGTGAAGTTAAAAATATTTTAGTTGAACACTGAATTCTGTCCATTTCAGAGATGCCCTTAAGGGTACTCTAAGGACTAAGAAGCCTTGCTGCTGGTTTTGAATTTAATGTAAAGTTGAAGGATGTTGCCTTAAACATGATCATGATTCTAAAATGCTTTTAATCTGGTTTGAGCATTCTTTGGTAGTATACAGAGACATTACATATCAGGTGTGTGAGAATATACGTGTGAAAGTTTACTCCTGGTTTTAGGTATTAGCATACATTGTTAACAGTAATAGTGGAACTCCACACTTAACATCAATTTGCAACAGGAAAATGGAGAAAAGTAGCACTGGCAGATGTTAAGGTATGAGTTAAATTTATAGTGGGATTTTACTAGTAGAATTTAAATATTTTTATTTTTAGAAATGTTGGGTATAGGGGAAACATGAACTAAAAGTAGAGATGTTAATTCACTGACACCCACTTCACACTTTAACCTTTCTTCGTTGTCAATATCATACATACCTCAGAGTGAGAGTACCATCTATGAACCAATACACTGTTACCATCCAAAGCCCATGATTTGTTAAAGTTTGCCTTTAGTAGTACACATCCTGTCAGTTTCCATATGCACATGATACGTCACTGTAGAATCATTCAAGTACATTCATAGTCTGGTAAGCATTTGATACCCAGAAATGAGAGAAGAGCTCATTATGGTCATAAAGAAGACAAGTACTGACACAAACTGAGGAAGATTCCATAAAGAATGGTCCCAAAGAAATAGACATGTACAAGAATTTTTTTTGAGTGAGTTAAGTTAGGAAGTCATTTGTTATTTGTTCTTCGTGAGTACAGAATTGAGAATGAGGCACAGGGCTTGAAGCATCCACACAGTTTTCTGAGTGTGAAAGATGGAGAGCTTATGTATGCAGGGATGAGTTCTTCAGGATGTCCTGTGCTATGAAAAGGATGAGAGGGACAAGCAGTCTTAAAAAGGTACTCACAACATTGTGCAAAGCAGTGAAGAGATGCCACATCAGTTTTCTCTGATTTTTGTAGTTTTGCCATTGTATTACTCTTGTTTTATAGGCCAAGAATGAAAATGCACAGGTTGAAATGAGTGACAAACATTTGAGAGGGAATTCAAGACCCAGTGAGATAACTGCATGATAAAATGGTTTTGGAACAAAGCCTAAAGACTTGAGTTCAATCCCTAGGACCCAATGGAAAGCTGCAGAAGAGAACTGATTCATATAATTATTCAAATACACAAGTGTGTGCATACACACACATTTTTTAACTAACACTAATAAAAATATTCATTAAAAATAAAACTGAAAATGGACTTAAGTCCCAAGTTTGGCTTTAGCCCATCCCTATGTATCACACCACCCCCTTTAAATACCATAATGGATTTCTTCTTTTACAGTAAGTGATTGAGATTGGACTGAAAAAAGATTTTTTTTTCGGTAGAGTCACACATGCCACAGCATTCATGTTGAAATCAAAGGGCAATTTGTGGGGGTTGGTTCTGTTCTACCTTGTAGGTTCTAGGAATCAAGCTCAGGTCATCAGGCTTGGCTGCAAGTACCTGTGCCCGCTGAGCCAGCTTGCTCGACCAAAGTTGGACTTTTTACAGAGTTCTACTGATATGTTTAGCTTGATAGAAGGTCTTTTAAAAGTAAGTACTTACTTTAAAAAGCCCAGCCTGGTCCACAAGAGCTAGTTCCAGGATGAGAAACTCTGTCTCAAAAACCTAAAAAAAAAAAAGTAAATGTTATATTTATATTTAAATATGCTATGGATTATTATCAGCTTCTTAATCTGAATTCTCAGGAGCAACAATATAATAATCTGTAGGAGATGAATGCCCCCAGAGCAAGTTCTCATTGCTTCTGGAATGTCATGCTCTTCTCTCTCTGTCTTGCTCCTGTTTCTTAGGACCTGTGCAAACAGGAGTTTTGTTCTTAGACATGAAGTCCCTTGGGTAGTCCAGGCTGATCTCTTAACTAGACATTTTCTTGCCATAGCCCTGAGTCTGAGAGAAGGGAGGGTCATTTGTGAGTTCCAGGCCAGCCAGCCTAGGCTACATAGCAAGATCTTACCTTAAGAAGCTCAAACAAGCCAGGCTTTGGTGGTGCACTCCTTTAATCCCAGCACTTGGGAGGCAGAGGCAGGTGGATCTCTGTGAGTTCAAGGTCAGCCTGGTCTACAGAGTGAGTTCCAGGACAGCCTCCAAGGCTACAGAGAAACCCTGTGTCGAAAAACCAAAAAACAAAAAAATTCAAACAATGTAAGTTTAGAAGACTGTGTGTATTTGGGGTAGGCAGGAAAAAAAAATCTACAAGTTTCTGTTCAATCTTCAGTAGTGAATAAAGTTAGGGAAAAGCTACCCTAGAGTTCATGTGAGCTCTCATGTGAACCTGTCCCTCGGCTGACCCAAAGTGGGTGTTTCAGTTCAAGGAGTTGCTTTAACATTTTCTGTTAAGTCTCCATGCCTGTGAAAGGGAAAAAAAATATCTTGAGGATCCCATCTTCACCCCAGACTTGTTATTTCTAAAGGCTCTAAAGTTCAAACCATAAGAAGACAGGAAAACAAGAAATAAAGTTTAGTTTTGAGGAAAAAACCAATTGTAAAACCATGGGTAAAAGTGATGAAATTAGAACCAGCTCACAGACTGGTGTTAGAATATAAAGTAGCTGTCATTTTTAAGACAGGATTCAGGTGGTGGTGGCACACGCCTTTAATCCCAGCATTGAGGCAGGGACAGGCAGATGTCTGAGTTTGAGGCCAGCCTGGTCTATAGAGCAAGTTCCAGGGCAGCTAGGGCTACACAGAAACCCTGTCTCGAAAGCAACAAGAAAGACAGAGGAAAAGTTAAATATGAGTAGAAAGCTGCTTCATATCTACTAAGATGGCTAAGATAACAGATAATACAAAGTGTTGCCGAGGATATAAAGAAACTGCTGCTGTTGATAGGAATTACCGCCATGTACCCTAGCAACCTCTTTCCTGTGGATATGCCCATGAGAAGTGAAGATGTCTCCACGAAAACTTGTAAATAAGTATAGCATTATTCTTAGTAGCTGCAGAGTACAAGAAACCCTAATGACAACCAGTTGGTGAATGCATAAAGAGATTGTGGTTTACTTGTACAATGTTATTTAACCTTTAAAAAGTGAAGTAGAGGTATGTGCAACAGTATGATTAAGGCTTGAAAACAGTATGTTAATTATAAGAGGTCAGACAGAGGAAATCAATTATTGTATGATTCCATATACATATTTATCATATACACACATGTATATATCATATATACAATAAACAAATTACAGGTTAGGGTTTGCTAGATGCTGGGGGAAGAAGGCAGTGAGGAATGACTATCATTACAAGGTTTCATTGAGAATGATTAAACAGTTCTAGAATTAGATTTGATGACGTTAGCCTAATTCTCAGAATATACCAAAACCCAGTTGTGTATTTTAAAACAGTGAATTTTATGTCATAGGCTATGCCCAATTATGTCATAGGCTATGCCCAACAAACCTTACATGGAACAAGAAAAATAGTTTTTAAAAGCAAAGTGTATTTTAAATAAGCTAAAATAATTGAGACTCAGCATTTGGGGTTGACAGCAGATTAGATACAGATGAGAGAATTAGTGAACTGGAAAAATTACACAGAATATTTTTTGGAAACTCAGTGATGGTGTGGATATACAAAAGGCAGTGATTTAAAAGTGTTAAGGGAGAAGGATCTAATTTGTCTAGTAAGTTTAGAAAAAGAGGGAAAAAATCCCAAATAGTGGGAAAGATTGCTGGAAAAATCCCAGAAACAACCATTCATAGACTTAATCTAAATATCTTAAAACCTGTAGTTTTCAAGAGATATATTGCAGGCAGGCATACACTTTTACTTTTCTGGGCTGTTCAGTAAGCAAGCTACAATTTCTAGGATGACTCATTAAAGAGTAGAAGTTGTTAAAAATTGGTAGAGGAAAATATAAATGAAGTAAAAAAAGAGAAAAAGAATCCAGATGTGCCAGTGTAAACCCTCAAAGCCGGACAAAATCCTGAGAATGAGAGGCTGTTGGGTGCTCGGTCTTAAGTGAGTCATCTGTGTCAACCCCCTCTCCCTGCCAAGGCTCAGGGAACTGAGTTAGAGGGAGCAGAAAGAATATGCCAGAGGATGAGGAGGCAATCCCCGGAAATGAGATCTTCTCGACGTGGTCCAGCAGCTGTGGCTGCCTTCACAAGATCAAGTGAGTCAATTCCAGCAAGGATGTGGGAAGGGCTCTTGAGGTCCCACCCCAAACTGATGAGCTATTAGCAGTTTGTGGCTGATGGGGTGGGTGAATCAATTTTCTCTGGGACTGTTTTGTTTGCCCACGTTCATGTTGCTAGCACTGATTGGACTCAGAAGATTATAAAAAAAATAATCAAGAAGACATGAAGGTGGGAGGGGCAGTGTTGGAGAACTGGGGCAATGGCTGGTGTGTTGGGGTGAATGTGATCAAGATACATTTTGTATTATGAATGAAATTGTCAAAGAATAAATTTTAAGGATAAAAAGAAATAATCTACCTACCCCTCAAATGTAATCAAAGACGGTAAGTATGTAGCCAGCAGCTCACGAAAAATGACAGAGACTTCTTATTATGAAAGCTCAGCATATAACTTAGGTTTGTTTCAAACTAGCTCTTATAACTTAAATTCACTAATT